CATCCAATTAAAATGTAATGAGATTTGAGTGCCTAAATCCCATAACCTGATTGAAAATCTACCCTCAGTGTTTCACATGATCATGAGGGCAGGTGGGGCTTTGAAAACATACCGCATTATGCCTCAACTAGTACAGCAGAAGCTACATTTAATTCAATAACCGATTATCTCAGAGTTCTCACCTGTAGGATTATTTGTATTTTTTTACAACAGAAGATGGAATTGCTGGACCACTAGTGTTACACAATTAGTAGTTCCTGCATTCTTCTTCCCAGCAGAGAAAGTTCTGGGAAGTTCACAGAGGTTGCTAAAAGTTTTTACGTTAATAGGCTTTTCTGATTCTGCAAGCCCTAGCCCCTAAACAAGGTTAAATTAAGCTAGCTAACCAGCTAGCATTAGCAAAAATCAAGTCTTTGGCACAAAGGATTATGATGGCCTGACAGATTTTGATCAGGCCTATGATATTGTCCTGGTTTCGGCAGGGATAGAGTTAATTTCCTTCCTAGTAGCTGGTACAGTGCTGTGGTTTGGATTTAGGATGAGAACAATGTTGATAACACACTGATGTTTTAGTTGTTGCTAAGTAGTGCTTACACTAGTCAAGGACTTTTCAGCTTCCCATGCTCTACCGACGGAGAAGGCTGGAGGTGCACAAGAAGCTGGGAGGGGGCACAGCCAGGACAGCTGACCCAAACTGGCCAAAGGGACATTCCATACCATGTGACGTCATGCTCAGTACATAAACTGGGGAAAGGTGGCCGGGGGGGCCGCTGCTCGGGGCCTGGCTGGGCACCGGTCAGCGGGTGGTGAGCAATTGCACTGTGCATCACTTGCTTTGTGTATTATTATTACTACATTATTATTGTTGTTGTTGTTATTATTTTATTTCAATTATTAAACTGTTTTTATCTCAACCCATGAGTTTTTCTCACTTCTACTCTTCCAATTCTCTCCCTCATCCCACCAGGGGAGGGGGGGGAAGGGGGGGCGCGAGCAAGCGGCTGTCTGGTGCTCAGTTGCCAACTGAGGTTAAACCACGACAAATATATATACCAATTCTCCGGAAAACCAAATAACTAGTAGATGGAGGCAGAACATGAGAGAAATGGGGTTGTTCAGCCTGGAGAAGAGAAGGCTCCGTGGAGACCTTATCACGGTCTGGTACCAATATGTGCAGAAAAAAACCAGCAAATACTTTCCAGTCTCTTACACATTTAGTAACTAGTTTTGTTGTCTTTTCGACTCAGTAAAGGTGAAATGCACGGTATTGCCACAGGGTGGCTCATCTAGCCTGCAATGGAAGCCACAGATTTTCTGCTTACACAAGCAGCTGAAGCAAGGCAGTCTCAAAGCTTTACGGGTTGCTACAGCCGGAGTGCACAGGGAAGAACTACTGTGAAGAGAAAACCAGGAAGGGCACAGACCCAATTTTAATTCACCTTAATCCTGCATATTTTCTCTCACCCCAGTGAAGCAACAGTCATTCCTGATAACTCTGTGGGTGGATAGCACCTTGTGATGTGAAGGCACTGAGCCCACATTCCTCAGCAACCAAAACTCCCACTGTTCTCTTCAAAGGATTTGGGATAGCACTCTTGCTTGATCAACTGTGTCATAGTGAAAACTGACCTCACTATCATTGGGGGGGGGGGCTGTTAAAAATGTTGCGTTAACCTGTACAATAAATGTCATGTCACAAGCTGTTAGGATAGCTGACCAACAGACTGAAAAACATGCATTTATAACTATCAAATGTTTCTAGAAGTGAAAAAAAACTCATTTGTTTTTAAAAAGTAGCTTAGTACAGGTAGAAAACTTCAAAAATAACTATTTAGAGTAAAATTTAAAAAAATATAGAATGTACAACTAAATTATTGTAATGCTTAGACATGTTCAACTGCTATAGAAAAAAGTGTTCTGAATAACTGGAAGTCTCTTGTTTCTAGCAGTTTCTTCTCCTCTATCGCTATACATTAGAGGACATTTTCATCTTGAATGAGACAAAGTTTGAAGTTCGTAATAGTTATATGCTCAGCCTATCAGGTTCGGCAGTGCAATTTTCAAAATGCAATTGATTAGATTTCCTTTGCTTTAATATATGCATTAATATAACACATTTCAAAAATCCAGTGTATTATCTCTTCTGAGTACTACATATTTAAAACAGAATTGGGAACTCAAAGAGAGAATTAAATCCAAAAAAGTTCCCCATGGCATGGCTTCTGAACTAGTCATTCACAAATGCTTTTCAAATCTATTAATTCTACTCATGATGAATGCTACCTACCCTGCCAAATCTGAGGAAATTGCTTGAAAGACCAACATCCATAAAAACCACTAAGTTCAAAATTAATTCCAAACAGCCCCCGATGTACTGCTTAAACAATGACACAGGAAAAAACAAAGAACAAAATTCCCTAAGACCCTAAGAAACTAATTCCAGCAGCAGCAGAATTACACTCTGGTGGTAGCAGTAGCCCCCAGAGCAGTATATACTGACAAGGGTAATGCAACAGGCCTATGCTACTGTTAGGAATCACAGATGAGATCACCTTACCAGCATAGTTTTGCTACACTATTTGTGTGCCCATGCCCTGCAGAAAGTATCAGGTTTATTATAAACAAGCAGATCAGTTGCGCAGCATTTCAACAAGGGATGCAATATTTTCTGGACGCATCTAACAGGTTCCAGACCTATGAACATGAGACAGATGTTGGGCAGCAGCCACAGCCACTGTTACAGCAGGCTGATGACACCCTAAAATCCCAAAGTACTCAAGTACCTTCCAGGTAAAAGATCCAAAGGGAGGAAAAAGTCAATCCCAGAAAACCAGGTGTGTGGTAACCTCCGGATGAAAACTCAACCGAAAGACTTTCTCAGAAATCCTAGGCATCACATTTTTATGTGATGTGTAAAGAATATAAAATATATAAAGAAAAGGTACCTTTTAACACAAATTGTGCTGTTCATTTTCTCCAGAACATCGTATTCCTGTTTAAATACCGAGGTCACTATGAGATAGCGAGATACTGTTTCATTCCCACTGCTATTTAAGAACAGTGATTTCCGCCCCCTTTCTCCTCCCCACCCCCCGGCAAATTCACTAATCACTTTTATCCATGAAATTTCACATGGCGCTCCACTACCACACCTGTTACGCTGCCATATGAAAACACCTCGCGGTACAGCAGGACTTTATGGCGGTGGTACGTGAAATCACGTTAACACCCCGTACTTGACAGCGCTCCTGGGGCTTCCCCCCCCGGGAGCCAGGAGGGCGAAGACC